CAAAATACCACCGTAATTGATCGAATGACAAATAAGAATTCCCACATGTACTACATTTTGCTTTTTCAACCCCCAACCAACCACAATTATAACTGATTGAGACCCCATACTTGTCTTTCATTTCTTTGACAACATCCACTGGACGAGTTAAAGGTTTTGCACTTACCTCTTCAAGTATCAGCCCAGAAACTAAGCTGAAAGTCATCCTAGCATGTTTACTAGTACGAACAGCCACACCACACGTATGTTCATTGTTCAAAATTCTTATGTAAAAGAACCCATTTGTTTTTTCAACTAAAGTATGTACATGCCATATACATCCCCTTGATTCCTTATATGCACATTCTGCCGTAACCCTCAGCTTGTCATTTTTAACATACGTAAGTTGAAAACCAACCTCAATAGCGTACTTGCATAAAAAAGTACGGAACTCAACCACACCACCCTCAAACTTTTGTCCAACACTCGTAATATTATTTCGCCAACTAGCTGACAATAACACATTTTCTTGGTGAGAACAAAACTTAGAGAGTGAATTCCTTTCAATATCCACCAATCTATCACATTTACCATCCACAACATCTACCCAATTAGACCCCACTTCATCTTCTTCATCAGAAGTACTACACCTAGTAACTGAAACATCAACTATATCAACACCACGTGCACAAACAACAAACAACCCTCAACATATTCAGAAAATCAATATTATTTCGAACCATACAATTTGGATGGCCCACAATAGAATATGAAATACACAGAGTCTCAGGTTTCAAATTCTCCCATGTTTTACACAAAATGCCAACCAATTCCTCAAAATTCAATTCGCATGAAACATTAATGACAATAGTATCATTCACATATTTGCACAGCAACAACATTGCACCGTCTATCGAAACTGAAAGAAAAAACAAGAAAAATAATTTGTTCAACATAAAAACACCTCACAAGAACAACAAAAAAGTCTAGAGAAATTTCTAAAAATTATAATTTTCTCTGGATTATAATAACAAGCTTATAATTTTCTCTAGACTCAAATAAAAGTCCAGAGACATTTACAACCTTATATTCACCTTCAAGATAACAAAAACAAAATCACAGAAACTTAATGAATCTAGAGAGAATCACAGAGAAATTTACTACTAACTATTAAACACAATCATAGAAAAAAATCACACAAAATATCTGTTATGAAATTATAGGCTTTTTTGTGATTTTCACTGAACTACAAGCTAATAATTTTCTATGAGTCATTCTGCAATATTGCACTCATACAAAAATCCAGAGAAATTTACAAACTTATATACACCTTCAAGATAACAAAAAACACTGCATTGTCCATCTAAACTGAAAGAAAAAACACAAAAAATAACTTTGCTCAGAGAAACAAAAACTTATATTCACTTTTTACAAACATATAATTTTCTCTGAATTATAAACTGAAAGTGAGTAATAAACTTATAATTTTCTTTGAACTACAAATAAAAGTCTAGAGAAATTTATGAACTTACATTCACTTTCTCAAATTCTATCTGCATAACAAACTTCTAATAATATGTCCATATGAACTTATAATTTTCTCTGTGATTTTCGTTGAATTATAATAACAAACTTACAATTTTCTCCAGACTATATGAACAAAAGTGCAGAGAATGAAATTTATCTGGTTTGAAAAAATATAGAACAAAACTTATCATTGATCAGCATGTTGATGAAAAACAGAGCACGAAAAATGAACTCTAAACATCAAAATCAACTACACTGTCAACACTCTTTGAAATTGATCAAAAAATAGAGAATGAAAAATTAATTCCAAAAATAAAAATCAACTCTATCAAGCTGGCGCCTCTCTAAACAAAAATTCAAAACAAAAATCAAAATCCATGTAGAATCTCTATCGAAAACATACCTAATTCAACTCCACTGAAAAACTTACGAGATCAACACACTGTAACACCTACACGATCGTAACAATCTTTCTCGTCAACTCCACTGAAATCTTCGACAAAATCTCCACCGCGAAGTCAGTTTTCAAAATCTACACCGTGAAATCAACAATATAATATTCAAACAAATTTCTCGTCAACTCCACTGCAATCTCCGACGAAATCTTCATTGTGAAGTCAACAATATAATATTCAAACAAATCTATGTTATAAAAGAAGGGTATTTTAGGTACTTTATAACCTAAAATAAACTTGAGGGACCTTAAACATCAAAATATATTATTTTGGACTTGTCCTCCTATCAAAAGTAGAGGAGGGATGTTAGACTAATTTTTCAATGATTTAATATGAGATTTGTAAACACAAAATGATACTGAGTTCAAAAAAAATTATTTAAAATTTAGACATTAAAAGATACATTTCAACCATAATACCCTTGATAGATATAAAGCTCCCAATCATTTAACTGTCAATGTCTGCCTTCAAATATCTAAATTTTTTAAGCCTTTAAGCCCTCACTCTAAACCAGACATTAGTAAATGGGTTCTCTGCATCAACAATGGACACGTAGATCATCTCATAATTCACCACGTGGATACCTCCCTGGAGCTCAAAAGTCACCACGTGTCACTACCAATCATATTCTCCATCTATGTATATATATTTTTTCATTTAAATTCAGACCTCATACTTGATAACAGAACATTTCAATTACTATATTAATTTTTTCATTTTCTTTCAATGATAAATTAATAACTTTACACACCAACAATTAATAACTCTCAAAATAAACCAACTTAATAGCTAATTTGAGGCAAAACCTTCTTCATTTCTTTAACCAAAACATTTGCAATTGTACCTTAAAATGGTAATGTTTTAATTACTTCTTTTAGTGCAAGTGAGATTACAGATTAGTTTTATCCAAATTTGGAGGTGAGTTATAAATACATAGCAGCTAGTGCAAGTGTTTTTTTGAGGTGGGTAGTAGTGCAAGTTATGATGGATGAAGTTTCACAAAATTTAGAGAGGTACAGCTGTGTGACAAAGATGGCCATGATTATCTACACATTTAATTCTTTGACGAATATAAAATTTAAGCATAGAATAATATAGAATATATTCAAAATATATATATTTTGTGTTTGGTTTTACGATCAATTTTTGTATTGTTAGACTTATTTAATAGGACATTACAACAAATAAGAGTATTACGGAACAATTTTTTTTTGTCTCGAAAAGTGAAAATGTTGTTGCAAAAGCATTTGGAAACCAATTATTGTTGCCACGATGATAGTCACTAAAAATTGTTTCGAAATAATTTTTATCTTCAAAATTTTAAAAATGTCGCTAATAAATATATTTTTAGGAAGACAAAAATCTAATCATAAAAGGATAGTAATTCATCACTAAATATCTAAATTTGTTGTTAGAAATATAATAATGATACTTTTGGTAATAAAAAAAAAATTTTGCTTCTAAAAATGATATTTTCTTCTTCCAATTTTTATTTGTAAAACCTTAATTTATTGTCGTAAGATGTACTTATCCAAGCAAGATCCGAAATATCTGCCTTATTAATATTACAAATTTAACAAACTTTTATTTGCAAGGAAGTCTCAAAGCAAAGAGGGGGCTAATATCTTTGTAATGTCTATCCATTTTATTGTGAATGCAATAATGTATAGAAAGTACCTCAATACAATAACGAAAATGTTTAGTACTCCCACAAACAAGAACCCTTACGACCCCCACTAATATATTGATCATTGATGTGTTTAAATTTTTTTGAGAATTGTCTGACAGTGACATGAATGGTTCAGATCATTTTAAGGGTTGTGGGAGTTGTGTTTTGTAGGAGTCTCTATCATTATTGATACAATAATTCAACATGGATAGAACCAACCCATTTTATTGTGAATACAATAATGTATAGAAAGTACCTTAATACAATAATTCAACATGGATAGAACCAACCAGACAAGCTGATGTAGGGTGAGTAAAGATTACTTTCTTACAAGTAGCAAGTTTAGATTAAGTATATTGACAGCAGTAATAATAGATTTATAAGGCTGGATTTAGTGAGATTTTGTGACTGTAAAAGTATTTAAAAAAAATAAGAGTTTAAGGGTTTGTAAAAGGGTAAGATTTTGGAAATGAAAATACAAGTATTTAGGAATTGTTGAGTGGCTGTTTCAAGCACTGTGAAGAGTGAAATGAATAGTAACCTTGCTATGTAGAAGAAGAAGAAAAAGAAGAAGAGCTTCACCCTCACAAGGGATAGGCCAATCACACAAACACAATATCAAATTTTCATAGTATTAACTCTTTTCTTGAATCAGTGAGATTGTACATATATTTATAAACTAAAGACACTCCTAATTCTATTTCAATTATAATAGAAAATTTTAATGATTTCTAATTTTACTTCAATATTAAATAAGAAAATTTAGATTTTTGACCACTAAGATTATTTTAGATATAATAAAACCCATATATAATGACCCATTTAATAACTTGACTCAAAATAAAACCCATGAGCAACCCTACAACCCATGTCCAACAAAACTGAAATTACCATAATACCCTTAAGTACTAAACACTATCCTAGACACTTCTCTTTGGACAAAAAGACTTTTTGAGGATCATAGGACCCTTAGACTTTGTGTTGGGTTTCCACAACCTATCATACTTGTTTAATCATGTAATAGATGTTGCATCACAAACCTTATGATTGAACACATAAAAGTGTTTAATTAATACATATATATATATATATATATGTATACACATGTTTTTTAAAGTAGTTTGGTAGAATCAAAAGCAGAAACAAGTAACAGGAGCTGTTCCAGTTGATTTGATCCTGTTGGCTCTTTCTTTCACCTCAGTCTCTTCAATTTCTCTCTTTTCTTCCATTTGCACTCTTGCCTCTACAGCACTATGATCTATCCTTGCTAGCTTGTTCTTGTAATGTTGTAAATTCAGTGCATTTCTTAGCTCCATTTCGCTCTGCAGTTTCATCATTTTTCATGACCACTTCCTAATTAATATCATTTATTTGCATATGATAAAGTATGTAAACATACAAAAACCAGACAAAAAATGTATTGTTGGGTAATATGAATCCAGAAAATTATTGAATACTAATCCCACAACAACTGAGTAAGAGTACTTTTTGGTGTGTCATAGTTCTCTCCTATCACCCTAATACCATGTATTTATAATTAACGTGTCATGTCTTTTTGTATTGTATTATAATCTAGATCGTAGACATACACTACACCATATAAAATTTTTAAGAACTAAATTTTTGATTTCTAAAATTGAAAATTTTGTTGTAAAAAATATTAGGAGTCCAAGCTCATCCGATCATCTTTTATAGATGGCGAACAAACTCTGCTGTTCGTTGTTGACGGCATCACCCCAGAGTTAATCCGGAGGAGAGACGCATCCCCCACTGTTCCGAACATGGCGGGCCTGGAGACTTCATCTAGAGGGCTCCCCAGAGATGCACAAGATAAGCGCGCTAGGAGCATCGATCACTCTTAGAGTCCAAACGGACACCGATGACAAAGAGAGTCGCACGCTCAACGCCTAGAGCACAAGCTGAGGGACTAAGACGCTATCATCCGGAGGATGGCGGTGGAGATGGTGGCGCTGAAGCGGCAAGTCAAAGGGAAGGGTGTTGCTGGAGTGAAAAACCATAATGAGCGCAACCAACCCCATCGCTCAGGCAGCCAGAACTAACAAAGGACGCCTTCCTTTCTAATCACCAAGAGCTATGGGGTTGGTGAGTCTGACCCATCGGTGGAGAAGTCGTGTGCACGAGATAGTAGCTACCGTCCCTCACGTCCGTCGACAATGTCTAAATACTCTTACTCCTCCCGTTCGAAGGACTTGAGGGACGTCTTGGAAGAACAAGCACGACGGCGGGAGGCACAAAGGGTGCTAGCACTGCAGCGGCTGTCCCACGGAGGTCACACCAGTGAAGAAGTCATAATGCCGCCACCACAGCCAGTTGTACATGTCCCTTTGGACAGAGACTTGGCGAGGCTGAGCGCCACCCTTTTTCCCTTGAGATAGAGGCTATGCCGCTCCCTGCGGGCTTTCACCAGCCCAAGTTTACGCTCTATGACGGAAAATTGATCCATACATGCATGTGAGCCACTTCCAGCAAGTTATGGTTGGCTACAGGCGGAACGACACACTTATGTGCCTTATTTTCCTGTTAAGTTTGGGTGATTTAGGCCTGAAATGGTTCGAGAGGCTGCCGGAGGAAAGTATCGAAAGGTGGCAGTAGTTGGTGCAAGCGTTTGTGACCCGATTCAAAACCAACACCAAAATACCCAAAGAAGTCGACCACCTTCTGAGCGTCAAAAAGGACTTGGGTGACTTATTCAAAGTGTACAATGCCAAATATTGGGAAACCTTCAACGAAATCCTTGATTGTCCGACCAACTTTGCGATCACCCAACACAAGCGCAGTCTCCCGATCGGACATAGGTTGAGAGACTCGCTCACCATGAACCAACTGACGACCATAGAGCCCACCTCAACCATAGACCCACCATTTGAAGGCCCACCTCAAATGGTCATGAAGAGCAAATGTGAGACAGACCACTTGGTCGACTTAGCAGAGATGTTCGTCATTCTCAAACAACACAAGTTGCGTCTAAACGCATCGAAGTGTGCCTTCGGCGTGAGGTCAGGGAAATTTTTGGGATTTTTGGTCACCAACTGTGGGATTGAGGCGGATCCCTCTCAAATCAAAGATATACAAGAATTAAAGTAGCCCAACTCAGCAATGGGCGTGCAACATCTTGCCGAGATGGCAGCTGCGCTTAACCAATTTATAAGTCGGTTATTAGATCGTTACTACCTTTTCTTCTAGGCCTTAAAATAGAAGTTTTTGTGGGATGCTGAATGCGACAAGGCGTTGGCCAAACTAAAGACATACCTATCCTCCGCTCCATTACTTGTCACGCCAAAACAGCGCGAAGAACTCTACCTCTACCTTTCTGTTTCCCAACATGCGGTCAGTGCGGTGCTGGTAAGAGTGGAGGGCATACAACACCTATTGATCTTCTATGTCAGCAAAACCTTGCTCCCGACAGAGTCAAGATACTTGCTGCTGGAGAAACTCACCTTAGCACTAATGATGGCCTAAAAGAAGTTGGCACATTACTTTCACGCTCACACGATCGTGCTGTTGACCGAGTTTCCTTTGAAAGCCTTGTTTAAGCAGGTAGACTTCTTTGGCCAAATCCGCAGTCGAGTTGGGACAATTCGATGTCAAGTTTCAACCCCGAACTGCTATTAAAGCCCAAGCATTGGCCGGTTTTGTGGCAGAATTCTCACTTAGCATTCACCCAGTTTGCCTGGTGGACCTGATCGATGCAACCAGGCTGAGGAGGGTAGGCACGGAAGAAATTGCACAACCAACCCCCACTTCAGTCTAAGCCAGTCCTCTTAACAAACAAGACATTGAAAGTGACACGAAATTTTCGCGTGCAACCATAGACCCACCATTTGAAGGCCCACCTCAACCTGGCAATGCGTTGATGGATTTGGGAATAACAGGACAACCTGTTGGATCTAACACCATATCACCAGAGGGAAGGAAAAAGAATGCAAGTTGCAATCATCGACGGCGCGCTTGACGCGGAATAGTCGAGCAGCCAAGCAACTCAGAACACTTGAACCTTCAAAAATTCCATGATCCCGTAGAATATTGGAAGCTCTTGTCAGTGAAATGTGGAAACTTATTGTCGATGGTGCTTCAAACAGACATGGAACTGGGCTGGGCGTAGTTTTGATCTCACCAAATGGACTAACCATCGAACATTCCATCGCACTTAGGTTTCCCGCATCCAACAATGAGGCCGAATACGAAGCACTGCTAGCCGGATTGAAAAGCGCGCTCTAATTGCAAGCATCTGAGCTAATAGTTTACAACGACTCCCAACTCGTTGTAAATCAAGTGACTAGGGAATACGAAGCCAAAGATGACAACATGGCCAAATATTAAACTCTGGTAAAAGAGCAGATCAAAAAATTTCAAGCCATACGCGTTCAACAAATCGGCCGAGAAGACAATGACCGAGCAGATGAATTAACCGATTTGGCTTCCATGGCTGACAAATCAACCCCCAACCCCCTCCTTATTGAATTCCTCCCAAGACCCAGCATCGAGGGCTCAGTGTAGACAGAAGTTCTCTGCACCGAGCTAGGTCCCTCTTAGATGGACCCCATCAATCTTTTCTTGAAAGAAAGAATCCTGCCAACCGACAAGAAAAAGGCAAACAAAATCCAGGTGAAGTCTGAACGGTTTTGGCTCTCTCTATCTGGCGGCCTGTATAAGAAGTCCTTCACTAGCTCATATCTGAAGTGCGTACACTCAAACAAAGTCGACGCCTTTCTGTTTGAAATCTATGAAGAAATGTGTGGCAGCCACATTGGGGGAAGATCCCTGGCCTACCGTGCTATTTCACAAAGATATTGGTGGCCCTACATGTAAGCCGATGCACAGAAATATGTGTGAAAATGTGAAAAGTGCCAAAAGTTTGCTCACCAAATTCACTAGCCAGCTAGAGAACTCCTTCCCCTCACAAGTCCTTGGCCGTTCGCAATGTGAGGCCTGGACATAGTGGGACCACTTCCAACTGTGCGCGGTAACCATAAATTCTTCATTGCAGCAATCGATTACTTTACCAAATAGGTCAAAGCTGAGCACCTGGCAACAATCAAAGAAAAAGATGTGAAGAAATTCGTCTGGCAAAATGTGGTAACGTGGTTTAGAGTTCCCAAGGCTTTGATCTCCGACAATGGCACCCAATTTAATGAAAAATTGTTCAGAGGATTTTGTGAGGAGCTGGAAATAGAGTTCTACAATTCAACACTGGCCTACCTACAATCAAATGGCCAAGCGAAGGTATCAAATAAGACAATTTTGGACGGGTTAAAGAAAAGGCTGGAAAAGGCCAAAGGAAAATAGACAGACGAGCTTCTAAATGTCCTCTGGGCCTACCGAACCATGCCAAGATGCTCAACCGGGGAGACGCTTTTTGACTTGGCATATGGCATGGAGGTGGTCATCTCACTGGAGAACGGCATGCCCACCATCCGCAGCGAAAATTTTGAGCCAGACTTAAACGCTGAAACCATCGCCCTAGAGTTAGACCTTGTAGAAGAACGCCGAGAAAAGGCGCTGATCCATGTCGCAGCATACCAACATGAGCTGTTCAAAAAGTATAAAAAAACAGATCACCCTAGACAATTCAAGGTCGGGGATTGGGTTCTGAGAAAGGTGATGGGCAACACTCTAGTGTCGAGCGAAGGGAAGCTAGAGGTAAACTGGAAAGGGCCTTACAAGATAACCGGTCTTGCGAGTAAAGGGGTATACAAACTAGAGGACTTGGACGACAAAGCCATAACCCGACTATGGAACGCGGCCTATTTGAAGTTGTATTTTTTCTAGTTTCAATCTTTAATGTAATTTTTTGCTTGCGGAGGACAAACATTCCCTTTCATTTACCGATATAATTCTTTTAGTTACTATGTGAATTTATGAAAGCTATATATAATATAAATGAATTATTGTACTTATAAATTTTATCGTAGTTAATGGATTGCAATGAACAAGGGCAACTGTCTCCCGGCCGAGGTGTCTTTACCCGGCTATTGGAGTTGATGAATTGTTCAACTCAATGCTTTTAACCGAGGTGATTTTTCTGGGCTAAAAGAGTTGATGAATTGTTTAATCAAAGCTTTTCACCGATGTGATTTTGCCCGGTTAAAAGAGTTAATGGATTGTTCAACTCAAAGGTTTTGACCGAGGTGATTTTGCCCGGTTAAAAGAGTTGATGGATTGTTTAACTCAAAACTTTTGAACGAGGTGATTTTTCCTAATTAAAAGAATTGATGGATTGTTCCATGCAAAGCTTTTAGCCGAGGTGATTTGGCCCGGCTAAAAGAGTTGATGATTTGTTCAACTCAAAGTTTCTGGCCAAGGTGATTTTTCCCGACTATAAGAGTTGATAAATTGGCTCGCTCAAAGGTTTTAGCCGAGGTGTTTTGCCCGGCTAAAGGAGTTGATGCTTTGCTAAATTCCAAATTTTTGGCCGAGATGTTCTACTCAGCTAAAGAATTGATGTTTTGGTCAGCTTTTGACTTTTGGCTGAGATGTTTTGCCCGGTTACGTGGATGGATGCTTTGATCAAGTATATTGTGCGGTTGAAAAGAAGGAACACAAGGTAATTGCATGAGACAAAAGTTGTAAAAATTTTCATTGATTGAGATTTTAACTACAAGAGTTGAGGCAAGCAGCCCGATTACAAAAGTCCAAATCAAAAAGGCAAAGAACTCTAAACTAGACTAAGGAGGAGAGGTCAGCGAAGTCGTCTCCAGTCCCCTCTGCGACAGCTTCTAGGTCGACCACGACAGCCATTTCTTTATCGCCAGCCTTCTTCTGGCCGGTCTCCATTTGACTGCCTCCTTCCTCGGCCCTTTCACCGGCTTCTTCCTTGGCATCCTCTTGTAATGAGTTGAAGACGTTGTTCACGTAAGGCACGATATAGATCGATAAGAAAGCAGGGCAAAGGGAGGTGAACACCTCGATTTCAAATCCTTGACTGAGTTTCTCATAAGCTACCTTCCAACCGGACTTGAAGAAAATGTCCTTGGTGGCTTCAACCTGTTTGGAGTAGTTGTCCTTGGCCTCCTTGAAACCGAGATTATTGGCATCATCTATATCTTTCTGTCTAGCCTTTTTCAACTCCAGTAGCTCGGTATAAAATGCATCCCTCTCTTGCTCGGTGCTACCAAACTGACCAAGCAGTCTGGCGTTGTCTGCATTAGCAATTTCCAGAGAAGACTTGGACCTTCCCAGCTTGTTTTCCAGATGCTTGGTCACGTTCGAGAGGTCAGTCACCGTTTGTCAGAGCTTGTGGATGTGGTCCATGACAAGGTGTTGTTTTTGGATGACTTTGCAAGAAATCAGAGGAAAGTTAGCTTAAATAAGAAACCAACCGAGGAAACACTTAGAAAAATTTCATATATTCTTACCCTGGTCATAGACTTAACTACGAACTTCACAAGCTGGGTGTTAGGTATATGGCCACTGTCGGTTATGTCGCTTGGCAGCGCCTTTGACAGATCGTAGGCCAAAAGGTGCTCCTTATCGCCTTTCACCGAAGCATTAACCAGGATGTCCTTCCCCCGGTGCTTCAACTCTACCCTCTACGGCGGTGTCGGTTGAGCCTCCTACGCCGACTACTCGGTGCTCAGTTTGGCCACGAGTTCAGCTGATAGATCTGCGAAGCGAGGGCTCTTGCCAGCTCGGCGCGCGTGCTTGGTAGCTCGTGTTGCGGCGGTCGAAGCCAGAGTGATCATGGTCCCAGATGTTTGACCGGTAGTAAGGGTAATAGGAGAATTACTCGGCATCTTGGTAGATATGGCAGTGATGAGATTCTTAATTTGGCTCCGTTTGGCCATTTCATGCTCCTCGGTTAACCAAATTAAGGGCATGTCCGGAAGTGTTGGATTTGGTGGTAGAGATGGCACTCGCAAGAAGTCTGTGATCCTGCTTTTTACGAGGAGCCGAGTACCGATAGCTTGGCACGTAACCGAGAAGGTCGTGGCAATCTCAGTGATGGTACCTCAGCACGGCTCTAATTGCAGCCTCATCTGGGTTGAGATAATTCACTTACAAAGCTTCAATAGCTGCAAGAAGAAGGCAATCAGTACAAAGTAGTAAAGGAAAGTAACTTGACCGGTTAGAGAGCACAGTTTACATGATGAACCGAAATTCTTACTAATGTACCAACCAGGCATGTCAGCTGTCTCATAATTCCTGGACACCCAGAAGAAGTCATCTTCGTACATGTCCTTGTCCGGTGAGCCGGTTACTAGTTTTTCTTTGCCCGGCCTTATTTTCAAGTAATAATTAAACCCATAGGCCATGCGACCAAGGGTATATTGGCACAAGATCTTGGCCAACCCTAGGTTCAAGCCAAGACGGTGATTCAGCTCAGCAACTTTGTTTATTATTCTATATGTGTTCGTCAAGACTTGAGTCGGTGCTAGCCCGGTACGCCTTAGGAACTTGCAGATTAAGGGCTGTATCGGGAAGCAGAGACCTCCCCCGACAATTGACAGCACGGTGAAGGGGAATTGATCCAGCCTGTCCCAAAGAGAAATGTCTTCTTCACCGAGTTCAAAGTAGACGTCATCAGGGATGCTGTACTCCTCGTGAAATGTGGCCAATGTACCCGGCGTGTTTACAAGGAACAGATAGCGCCCCATTAGAAACCGACTTAGTAGCTCAGTGAAATTGAGTTGACTAAGGTGTGCACGGTGGCTACTCGGTCGTTGAAATCCCTAGTGTTGGTGTGCCTGGTCCTCTAGGATTCTGCAGTTAAAAATCAAGTATAAGTGATAGCGCGGTCGCGCATATGAGCTTGATTTTAGCTCGGTCACTTCTTATCTCGATCTGTATTGTTTGGCAAACCCTAGCCCGGTTACGCGAGCGGGCTAGATATTAGCTCGATCGCACGACCGTATACGCTTGATAACCCAGTTTTCTACTCTGACTCCATAAACAATAGATTTACTCAGTCACCTTTATTTTCAAATCAAAAGGGCATTTTTTAGCACGACCAAGCCCAGATCTTGTCATGTTCATCATAATGGATGATGAGCAATGCGAGGAACCAGGGGCGTGGAAGCTTTTCGATGACGAAAGCAGTGCGCAACCCTAACCATATTCAATTTTTGGTGGTTTTTGGGTGTTTCTATCTTCCTCAACAGATTAGTGTGGGAGTTAAAGTTCAAACAACACTAGAAAAGCATGAAGAAGAGAAGGACAGAAAGGAAGGAGAAAACTTACTGGTTAATACGCGAATTGAAGCTCTGATTGGTGAAATGCTTCACAGTGGCAACAGCGGAACCAACTTTACCAGGAAAATGCTCGAGAATGGGCAGAAAATGCAGGGGGTGGGGCTTGGGTGTGTTTTCACTCTTGATTGTCTATGGCAGATATAATGAATAGTGGAGATGAATGGTTGGTATGAAGAAGATGTATATGGAATGAGAAGGGGCGCCAAAAATTTGAATCCGAGGAGACGACGTGGAACAGTTGGGTTGGCTGTACGAGGCCAATGGACAAAGGACACGTGTCTTTGATGAGACCAGTGTCAATCTTGAAAAGACAAGCTGAAAAGTCGAAGTGCCGACCGAGCAGGTCGTAGGACCGAGCGTAAAAGTTAGCGCGGTCGAAGATAGTGAATTGATTTGAGTTGGATAACCGAGCAGGTGAATGAGCTTGGCCGAAGAAGGTAGTCCTGGTCATGCTAATGCGGATGGAATTAAGGGGCAATTAAGAGCGAACTTTATGGCCTAATAACAGGTTGAGCTAGTCTTGGCCAGAGTCTTGGTCTTTGTTTAGTCAGACGTTGGTTATGCGTTGGACCGAGGGACTAGTCCGGTCAAGTTGAGACAACTTCAAGCTACTATCCCGGCAACGATATACGTTCTACTGAGTCGGATGGACTTTATCCTCAGGCCAGGTCTACTAAGTAGAAGCTCGGTTGAGATTGGGTAGCTCGGCTAAGCCCACTTCTAGGATTGACCGAGGAGACCAAACTGGTAGCGCGGTACTATAGTGAAGATGTGGCTCCGTGCTGAACATAGCTCGGCGGCCAATGTTATGTGGCGTGATGGGAGAGCGGGAAGAAGATTTCGCTATCCGTATGCATCAATACAGTTTGGTGGTTTGATCATTTAGTGTTTGGCGGTATTTGTGCCTACACGTAGGGGAACCCTATTAGGGAACATATCCACACGTTAGAAGGAGAATAGACAAAAAGGAGCGCGCAGAAACTATATAAACGATGTTGCGTATCCATGCACAGGTCTAGAACATCTGATTTTCTGAGCTACCTCCCCCTTTGTCTCTCTCTCTCTTTCTCTCTGTGTGCTAACTTGATCGTCGGAGGGTTTTTTCGGCAGCACACCGTCGGGTAGCTCACCGTCTTTTTTTGCACAGGTTAAGCGACGTTACACAGAGCTTGGACACGAGGAGTACGGAGAACGACGGATATTTCCTCCCTGTATAGGTAGCATGAATCCGAAAAAGTATTGAACACTAATCCCACAATAGCTGAGTAAGAGTACTTTTTGGTGTGTCACAGTTCTCTCTCCTATCACCCTAATACCATGTATTTATAATTAGCGTGTCACGTCTTTTTGTATTGTATTATAATATAGATCATAGACATACACTACAACATATAAAATTTTTAAGAACTAAATTTTTAATTTCAAAAATTGAAAATTTTGTTGTAAAAAATATTATTAGTCCAATTACAGTCATTAATAAAAGAAATTGACTGAAAAGTTGAAAAAAAGGGTCTTTAGCAACAAAATTTTAAAAATATTGCTAATAAATGCATTTTTGGGGACAAATTTTGTGCCAAGAAAATTTACTTTTTTAGACAAAAAATTTAGTCCCAAAAAGATAGTAATTCATCACTAAAAATACAACAATATGACACTTTTGGCTACAAATATATTTTGTCCCTTAAAAGTAATTTGTTTCTAAATTTTTATCTCAAAAACCTTAACTTGTTGGAGTGATGGACAGTCTTGTTCTGAATCATCTAAATTTTTGTGTTCCTTTATGCATGATTTTAGATTCTTATTTTATTTATATTTGTATTTCGTGGTAAGTGTATCAATTAAGAAATAATTTTTTTTTTTTTTAAAATGGACCATACTAACCATACTAAAAAATTTTGGAAAATTTTACCTTTTGTTTGAATTCGTTATAAATTTATGTGTTTGTAACAAAAATCAATCCAAGTTGAAAAAGAGAATACCTTTTTCCTTTCCATTTGCAGTTTGGCTTTCATCTTCTTCTCACTCTCCCAAGCAAGAATCGCCGAGTTCATCTTCACATACCTAAAATTTAAGTGTTTTGTTTGTTAGTCTATGGGCCCACCACATGTCAATTGCGATGATCTAAACAGTTTATCTTATATGATTTGTTTATTTTTTATATAAAATAAATTAGATTGATTGAAGATTAGATACCATATACTGAATAACAAAATAATGCACAAAAAATAGACAGTATATTTTTAAAATTACACTTTTCATTCATTTTTTTGCATGAGGTTGCGATATAATCTTATGATTATTGATATTCAATTAATTTGATACTTTTTAATATATAAAATAATTGTGAGTTCTATAAGATGAACAATTTAGATTATCAAATTATACTTAAAATGAGCCATATAAATGGATTGGAAACAAATCTATTACAAAAAATTATTATAAATAGAAGTGTAATTGAGATTTAATTGATGTATAGTGGGGGTGAATATTCTAAATAATATTTGGATTGTGCAATACCAGTATTACTAAATATCATTGAAACAATGAATATATAATGCTTAACTAGCTGAGTAGCAGGTTATTCAAATTTAATAAGAAAACTTAATAACTTTTAAAATATATTCAAATTCAACTCGTTTACTTAATGAATCGATCTCAAATAAAAAAATTTAACGATTTGAACACAAATACCGTTTTTCAATCTTTGCCATGGCAGCTTTCTCCCAGGCATCGGCCTTGGCTTGTGAACTTCCTCGGCTTGTTGAAACCCAATTTTCGCTTTGATCCATTCGAATTCTCATGGAAGCTTCAATTTATTAAGATCATGAAAATATAAATATATAAATAGGGGTGTGTAACATGTCATGTTAATAATATTCGTGTCGTGTTATTTTAGGTTTATGTCAAATTACCTTGTCACTAACTCAATTTGTTAAATTTTCGTGTTGGCTCATTCGTGTGTTAGCTTGTAATGTCAAAAAATTTCACTCTTAATTTAAAATGTGAAGTGCATGGCCACCGGTTAAATTTCAGGAAACTAATTTTTATGGGATGAAATTATGCATAAAATATTTGATTTTAAGTCAATTTATTTCCCAATTTAAAAAATTATACCCTATTATTATAATTTTTATTAAATTAAACCTAAAATAGGTGATAAAAAAATACATTACCTTAAATGAAAAAAAAAAAAAAAAAAACTGCATAGCTGGATTGAGTTACATAACATGGCACGGAGTTATTTGTATCTACTTAGGTTAAATATTGATCTGACATATTTAATATTCATGATATCGAGTAGTATCATATTTCTGTTCATATAGAAACATAATAAAAAAATTTACCGCCATCACGGGCTTCCCAGCCAGAAAATCGTGTAGAATTAGATATTTGACTCGATTCTGGGGGCTTAAATTGATCTTGTATTGTGGTTCTGACTCTGCTAATGGGTATTATTTCAGTGGCATCTCTCAACTTCTTATTCTGGTATGATTCTGAATTGGATTCTTCAGCTGAATAGATGGCAAATGCAGCAGCAGCAATGGCAGATGCAAACTCACCCTCATATGATGAGTCATACTCAGTATGACTCATTTCACTAGAAAATTGCCTCTGCAGCCCACTCTCTGCCTTATTATCTACAAAAACATAACAAAAAACAGAGGACTAAGCTGTTTGCTAATGCTTATGATTTATTTTTATTTTAGTTCTTTACAGAAACATTAAATTTCTTATATTTATTTTTAGCAAAAACGAATTAAAATGCATATTTGGTATTCATATATTTATTTAAAAACATTATTTTGAAAACAAGTGACGGGTAGGTGAAGGTGGTTGTAGAGTGACAAAGGCCGTTGAAAGTGGTTTGCGGTGGCCGGTGGCCGAAGGTGATTGTTGATCGTCGGACTGGTGATGGAGGCCCGAGGTGGTGGCGCCCAAAGGATGAATGAATGAATTTCTTTTTTCTTTTAATGGTACAAAGATTTAGTAAATTTTATAAACTGTTTAAATGTATTTAAAAATTAAAAAATACATCAAATGAATTTTGTCTAAAATTTTCAAAATCTTTGTAAATAAAAAAAAAATGTAAATATAAACATTATTAAACATGCTTGAAAGTAACATGCAAAGTGTACCAATATATTCTATTTTTTTCTCTTACATCAATAATATTCTTTTTTTACATATTCAAAAGTTATATATTCTCTGGCGCACCAAGAGGAATAATAACAAGTGTGTTGAGGAATAAAAATCTGATAAAAAAATGAAAATTTTAAAAACACTCATTATTTTTATATAATTTTTTTTAAGGTGAAAATGTTTTTGAAGATTTAAAAATATTTTTTTGATATTTATTTTTGTCAAACTAGTTTTTAATTTTTCTATAAAAAAAATTCGAAAAGAAAGTTTTAAAAAAAAGAAAGAAGGAATAAAAGCAATGAAGTTGAAGAAAATGCTTGAAAAATAAGCAGACTATACCTCGAAAAGATTCTGTTCGCTGGCTTGGTATAATTTCTTCGCTTCTGCTATTGTCACTCCCTTCCTCGCTATCTTGTCCTACCCCGGAAATTCTCACCCTGATGAAGTCATTGGCAGGACAGAACGAGAATTTTATTATTAGAGGAATCAAAAAAAGAAATATTTTTTTTTCACCATATAACAAAACACACATAAATGTATATATGATATAAAAATTATATATACATTAAAAAAATTTAAATATTATAGAAGTAATTTCTAATAAGGTGAATAAGTTTTTTTTTAGATGTAAAATAAAAAGAGAATTAAAGATGAAAGAAGAATGACATATATATTTTTTTATAGTGGAGGCTATTTTATATATAAAATAAAAAAAAATATATATATATATATATATTTAAAGTTCTATGGAAAATAATATTCAGTCTGATAGTCTTCTCTTAATTCTGTTCCTAAACATTGATAATCTAATTTTGAACAACAGCGAAAGCGAAAGCGAAAGCAAAAAGAAAACACAACAATAAAAAGTTTGATATATTGTTGTTCTCTCGAAGGACTGGTGAAAATATTTGAGTGAACAACTATTAATCAAGGCAAGCAAGTAGAGCTGCCTTTTTCTTTCTTTGAAGTTGCACTTTCTGAAAATGTTTCTGTTTTCTTGATTTTGCTTTTGGTTGGTGTTTCTTGAAAATCTTGTGAAAAACAAAAGGGAATAGTGAATGATGAAGGGTTACCTTCTTCGTTGAATCAAATACTCCATTCTTTGATTCCAATGATCTGCTAATATTGTTTGTCTGATCTGTAAAACTTGGAAGACAAATCTTTCAAGGCATGCTAGCTTAGCTCATGAACAGTGGTGGGAGGCAAGCAAAGGTGCAATATGCTTTGTGAATGGAAAATGGTGCTTTTGAGGGGTTGGAAGCAAAGGATCTCTCTCTCTCTCTCTCTCTCTCTCTCTCACACACACACACACACACACACACACACACACACACACACAAATTTTACATGTTTTCTACTAGCTATGAAAGGCAACTTTTCTAGCTTGGAGAAGGCAAGAAATGTGGATTGATAATTGTGAGTGCTTTATGGTATTCCATTCTAGCTTGATTCTTGTTTTGTTAACCCTATTCATCCATGTGAATTGATTCTGTTAACCCACCAAAGTGATTAAATTTGGTTTGGCTTCTGGCTCATTGGACTGAATGTTCTGTTCAAATTTTAGTAGAGAAGCTATGGATCTCACAATAGTGGACTCTACTGAGGGTTCACACGCTTTCATGTCAAATTGAATGACTAATCATGTGTTGTGTTTGATTGAGAGATTTGGGACGATATTTGAAAAGAGAAAGAGAAAATGTAGGTAAAATATAAATAAAATATATCTATATTTCACACAGTTTCACACACTTTTTCTTTTTTATTTTTCAAATCTCTTCGCATATCTCCCAATCAAACAGAACGTAAGTGTAATTTCTTCGAGAAAAGTTGTGAGCCACACAATAGTTAACTCGATAATGGGCTTCAACCTTTTTATCAAGGTGATTTTACCAAAATTTGTTGGAAAAATGGTTTGAAAACCACTAATAGGTGAATGAGAAATTGACTCCAAAGTATACCATTTGAGTATGGTTTTAAGACGAAATTTATTTAATTTAAAATTTTATTTTATTTAAATAAATTTGTTAATTTTTTGAGTCAAAATTAAACAGGATTCGATTTAGAATTTGAATTCTTTTAAAAAAATAATTATGTTTTTTTTGTTGCACCTTTTCATGGAAAGGAGGTGACTCACCATGATCATTCGAAGAGCTACCAATACACCTATATAAACAAGCCCCTCATTGCATTTATTTGGCATTGAATTCATCTTATGTTTCTTTCCTTCTGCACTCTATCTTTTTTACAAGAGAATTCTGTACAGTAAGATTTGCCAGACTTGCAGTGGTAGAGTTGCTTCTATAAGGTTCAATCGTTGTATCCTGGGAGACAAACGTCCAATAAAAAACTCACGAGCACCGTAGCGGGAGACAAATTTGTTTAAAGGAAATTATGTCCAACACAAGTCTCGATCAAATTTGTTTTTCGTTTCCAGATATTTACAATCTGTTTGTAAGTTTTCTACTTTTTTGTAAGTATTTCTTGGTTCTCGGTATATGGTTTGATGTGATTTAACCCAAACAATTTACATTATATTCGACTTATAGTTTTTTTTATATATAATTTGGTAATATTTTTTGGCATGTTACAACTATACACATAATTTTTCCAACAATCTTAAGACAAATTCAGTTGTTTTGTTTATACAGAACTGTTATTCTTCTATATTTCCTTGATTTATTTAAACTTGTTTGTATCCAAAATTTAATTTGGTTCTGCATAATGTCAATATTTTATTCTCGGTAGAATTCATCTTTTGGAAATTGAGATTACATTGTTGTCTCAATTAAGTTTTATAAGGTAATATGGTTAATCTTGTTAGTTACATTTAATGAAGTTGAAATGGTGCATCTATTTCCGTTAGTAGGCAATGGGCTTTTGTCTTCTTTATTAAATTGTTTTGTAACATTAGTTTCAAAATGTTTAAACATAGATATTTTCCTTCTTATTATTTTTGACTAAACAGGATATGTTTATGGTTTCTAGGTTAATCTTAAATTTTAAATTTTTTATTAAATCGTTCTGGTTGATTTTCTAAGAATAGAAATTTCATGGGTTTAACATAAATTTTTTGAATCTGTTGAATAGATGTGCACTTTTCAATATGGGTTTTGAGAGGGTAATTTATATGAAAATTGGGCCGAGCTGGGTAATGGGCCGTTATGGGTCACAGTGCGAAGGGCTGAGTAAAAAGGCCATAAAGTTACTCCGGCCCAAGAGAGGTGTAAAGTTACTCCGGCCCAAGAGAGGTGTAAAGTTACTCCAGCCCAAGAGAGGTGTAAAGTTACTCCGGTCCCAAGGAGGTTAGCTCGGTCACCATACTAAAACTTATACCGGTTATGGCGCAGTATGGTTAGCTCGGTCTAAACCTTGCTAAAAGTTAGCTCGGTTTAGACCTACCACTGTTTGTACAGGAGAAACTGAGGTAAGGGCAGTAAAAGGACGAACCGAACTAAGGATATTAGTTCGGTCTGTTCTACGGCTAAGCATAGCCATGCGTACCTCGGCCACATTGGAGTCTGACCATGGTAAAACCATCTCACTTAGTTTAAACAGTGAGGGGGGTGTTGAAGGATAGGCATTATCTTTCAGGAGTATGAATCCTAGGAGGACTCTACATGGAGGAGTAAGAGTCCTACTTGGATTGTGCCACACGGAACCTATAAAAGCTCACCAACATCACCTATGGAGAGGTAACACAACTTTGATTCTCAAATACACAGAGCTCTTTGTCTTTGTCTATTTTGCTGACTTAGGCATCGGAGAGGTATCCGGCACACACCCGCCGGCTAGCTCACGTTTGTGTTTTCAGGGAATAAAGCGATGACGTACGGAGGAGCGCAATCTTGATCAACAGGATTATACAAGAAGGTTTATTTCTTTCCCGTACAATTGGCACCGTCTATGGGAATTCAGACAAGAACAAAACCTCTTGATCAAGCTTTTCCTCTTTAGAAGCAATGGCACACAACGAAGATTTGCCGCAGTCCGCCATCGACGGACAAACACCAGAGAGGGGTACAAGACGTGAAGGCCTATCTTCTATCCCTCCCTTGGCGGACTTAAAGCTACAGTGACAAAATCCCAGGAGGGATACAAGGGGGAGGAGGCGGACTAACAGCCCCCGTCACTCTCGTTCACGAAGTCCTGATAGACAAAGGCGGAGGATTGATCCTCAAGTTCTGGAGGACCACATTAAGGAGCAAGATGAATTAATAAGGAAGATGGCGGCGGACATGGAGGCCATGAAACACCAGATGAAGGGAAAAGGAGTGGCGACAGGAGAGGGGCGCAAAAGCAAGACGTCCCCTCGCCGCTCAGAAGACCGTGGAAGGCATTCCACACCATCACAAGCAGAGAGTAGAAGCCCTAGGACAGGCGATACTCAATCCAGAACCTCCAAAACTCGTTTCTCCAAGTCTGAGAGAACGAGATCATTGAGGTCTTACACAGAAGGAAGTACCTATCGACCCTCGTGCTCGCACCAGACATCATCCTGGCAGACAGAGTTACCAAGATCATCCGATTTACAGAACATGTTGGAAGAAAAGGCACGATAGAAGGAGGATACTAGGGCACGCAACCCTCGCAGGGTATCTACCCTTCAGCGGTTAGCTCCTCGGACGCATGGAAGCGTCGAGGTCGGAATGCCGTTGCCACACCCTGCCTACAAACCAACGGACAAAGCATTAGCAAGGCTGCAGACATCCCGTTCCGGCAATTGAAAACGAGCCCCTTCCTTCAGGTTTCCTTCAACCCAAATTCACCACGTACGAGGGGAAGACGGACCCCTACATACACCTAAGCCACTTCCGCCAGGTTATGGCGGTATATCGGCGAAATGAGGCTTTGATGTGCATCCTCTTCCCATCAAGCCTTGGTGACCTAGGCTTGACTTGGTTCGAAAAACTTCCAGAAGGCAGCATAGCCTCCTGGGCACAATTGGCGGAGGTGTTCGTCACGAGGTTCAGATCGAACACCAATACCCTGGTGGAGATTGACCAGTTACTCTCCATCGACATGGGCGAAAAGGAAACACTAAGATCCTACAATAGTCGCTACTGGGAGACATTCAACCAGATTGGGGACTACCCCACCAATCTCACCATTGCACAGTACAAAAGAGGCCTTCCAGTCGGAAACAGACTAAGGGACTCAATCACCATGACACCGCCCCTCACCATAGAGGCCTTGATAGAAAGAGTGCATCAGCACATCAGGGTGGAAGAGGATGGCGCCTGTGCCAAAACAAAATCTGGCACGACCGCAGTACCAGATAAAAAGACCACAGCAAAGATCAACGCGGTAGAACGTCCAAACAAAAATGGACAAGGCAGGCGAGACAACGGAGAGGACCAGGATAAAAGATGGTTGAGAATCTGCACAGCCATAACCACGGTATTCAAGAAACCGATCTACCGAATTCTGAGCAAAATACGCGATGAACCTTTCGTCAGATGGCCAGCTAAGCTAGGAGAAGCACAGAAAGACTACGACGAAAGGTCGCGATGCACCTTCCACAAAGAAAAGGGGCACCGCACTGAAAATTGTATGCCATTGAGACAGCATCTGGAGGAGTTGGTGGCAGCCGGTCACTTGGATAAATACATTGAAGGAGGGACGCAACCAGCCCCCCAAGACCACAATAACCCCAATGGAATGCCAATTGACGCCCCACCTCAAGGTGTGATCAATGTGATACATGGGGTATTCGAACCTGAGCGTGTATGCGAGCTCAGAGGATCGATCAAGAAGGCTGAGCACTTAAGGGAAGTACTAAGTACCCAACCTACCGTCAAAAAGGGGAGAACAGAGGCCACGAACGTCATGTCTTTTTCAGACAAGGACTTCGAGAGAATATATTGCTCTCACAACGATGCACTAGTCGTCACCCTCCGCATCAAGGACTATGACGTCAAGCGAATTCTGATAGACCAAGGTAGCTCGTGTGAGATAATGTACTACGACACCTTCAAACAACTGAAATTTGAGGACAAAGACCTAGCACCTCTAGTTCTCAAATAAATATGCTTTCTGCTCAACAATCAAACAACTTTAATGAGGAGGAGAATGATCTTTCTCCTTCACACATTTTATAAATACAAAATAATTTTTAGGGTATTCAGTCTCTTAATAAAATCCATTTTCCTCAACAAACTTCCAGAATGGCCTTAATAGAACCCAGTAGATATTATTATTCCCAACCTACACCTCAGGATATTCTATATGAGGAAGATTTCTTTCACACACAAAGGGCCTATCATGGCAAACCATTTATGAATGGAACATAGATGGCAAATCAGAATATCAAAATTTTGAAACTGTACATCAAATGTTAATGTATGGTACTGTTTGTAAACAGAATGATAATACTGATCATCAAGTTGCCCGCTTTATTGCTAATGACTTTACAGGGATTTTCAGGGAATGGTGGGATAATTTTCTCACTACCACTCACATAATGAAATACTTAATTCTTTTAAGATTGAAACTGACCGAATCACCAATCAAGCCCGACAAAATGAAGATGTTGTCTATACTCTCATACAGACTATCTTACGTCATTTTGTTGGACCCGAAGTAGGTAACAGCGATCGTAGCAGCGAGATTTTGTAGAATCTTAGATTCCCATCTTTAACTCATTTTCGATGGTATAAAGATGTTTTTTTACTTAA